ATGCAGCTCCAAAACACCATTTTTGTCCCTCCAAAAACCAACCACAGGTCGCTATTAAGCACATGCCAATCCAGTCCCACCAAGATCAAATCTGTCAATTTTCTAATCAAACAACGGTGCAAAAAACAGGAACTGAGATGGTTGGTCGGCGGGAGAAGAAAACTCGAAGTTGTTGAGCGCTGCGCGAACCAGACGTACTGTTCCAAATTTTATTTTTTAACCTGCTGGGGAATCTCCCGCTGTTTCACTATCACCGCGGTATGAGATGGACATTTTTGAATTTTTTTAAACTATATGAATTGCCGCGGTTCGGCGGCAACCGCGGTATAAGATAATGGCATTTTTGAAATTATTTTTAACCTATATCCGCGGTTTCGGCGGTCAACGCGGTTAAAGGCATTTTTGAAAGTATTTTTTAACTATATGCCGCGGTTCGCGGCAACCCGCGGTATAAGATGGCATTTTGGAAATTATTTTTAAACTATTCCCGCGTTCGGAGGTCAACCGCGGTCATATAATAAGTCCTCTAAATATTTCAAATTCATTTTACATTTTTTCAGGTAGAGACATAGGTTGCGGTTACTCCTCAAACCGCGGCATATCCCCTGTAACTCCGCATTCTCTACTCAGTTCAGCCCATGCAAATAAATTGGCAGGGGTATTTCCGCGGTTTTCCAGAGAACCCGGCATATAGGCCCTGTTATTTAATTTTTTTTTTCATTCAGACGTGGCGTCAAAGGGGATGTTTGACACCTGGGTATAGTCATGCCGCGGTTCCCTCGGAACCGCGGCATATTCCTTCGATTTATTTACAAAACTAAAACGTACTGCCACCTCACCGTCAAACGCGCACCATTATGCTGCGGTTTCGAGTGAACCGTGGCATATGTGCGCTGGAACAACCCAATTTTTTACTAGTGATACTAAATGCGTATTTCTAGTATTTGTACCGAAATACTTGCCCACAATGTAACTTAACTAGGACCATCCACCGCCTCTAATGTCTCTTTCTTTCTCATTTATCTGAATGTATTATACAATACTATATATTGTACAAGTCCAGCGTGGAAACAAAATAAAAGACCAAAACAAAACAAATGCCACAGTTTGTAAACACAGTTTTCAAGCTCTGAATTCACCCAATAATGGCAGAATCTTTTATAAATAATCTTTTTATTTACTATTTGTGCTCGTGGTGAATCTGTTTGCAGAAAAAGGAACTAGCTAACTAGCCCATAATCATAAATATTACGTTTTGTGGAGGCAATCAAAAGTAAAAAATTGCAAATTCAAACTAAAATATAGTACCAGTGATTCTGCATCGTACTGAAGGAAACTAATCGCCCCAAAAGCTTGGCGGAAATTTGCACAAGGTCGAGTGATGGCGGAGGCTGCGTGCTCTGGTCCGAAAGAGACATGGTACTTTTCGTTCCAATATTTCTCTTTCGCGTGATTATCAATGATGGCTGATTTGGGCACATACTAGGTTATATATATATATATATATAATATATATTCTAATGCTATCATACTGTTCAATTTGTCATCCAAATCTTGGTTGGTATAAAAGAAAATAAAGTAAAACTTACCGACATATCCTTTATAAATTACAAAAATAATAACCAGAATTAACCTAGCAAGAAACAAAAGAATAAACAACTTGTTTCTTCTCAAAAGCATACAATCATGCAATTTGGTGGTGTTCATAATTTTCAACTCCCGGTCCACACTGGACAGTCATATACTCACTATTAAAATGATCATTAAAAAAAACACACAAATTGACAAAAAGAAGAAAAGGGTAAATTAATGTACCAAAAACAATCATTCAACCCTTTTATTATGGACTAAGCATATAATATAGATCAATCAATCCTAAGACATACAATCATTCATTTTAGACTTGACCATTTGGATATATGTATTGATGTCAAACTCTGGGGGACCTGCACTTGTATGGTGGAATAACTTGTCCACCTAAGGTTAGTCATCAAACATGTATGCCAAGCCAATTCATAGACTAGGATCTCCTTTACTCCTTATGATATAACCCATCATTTTCCTACTTAATGTTGAATGGTTATTGGAATGTCGATCATCCCCTATTTTGGAGCTCCTACATCAATACATTACATTACTGAACAACACCATAGAATCTCTTTGCTAGATTCATGAAATTATGTCAAACACATATATCATGCACATTACTTATCACGAACTCATCATCATTACCAGATCATACTTGATAAACACTTATCATGTGTGAATAAATACCATACCTACTCATATTCAGATATAACCTGAAACATCACTAATATAATAATACACATGCATAGAATCCAAAATGTCTTAATTCAAACAGAGCAAATCGGAAAATCAAGAAACATGCAATGGCTTAAGAGCAAGGAGTGCTTCAACGCATGTTTTTGGCGCTTAACGCATGTCTTTGGCGCTCAACGCATGTCAGTGCCACACCAGAAACTAGAAACTTTTATTCTCAATCTAATTGTACTCAAGCCCTATCTCAATGAACAAATTGGTATTCTTGACACTGTGATTGATTCAAAAACAACCAAACCAAGTAACATTTAACAAGCTATCATAGCTAGATTTCCCTGTACCAGACAACACACATTCAAACTAAAATCAATCAATATACTTAAACACAACAAAATTTCAACGTGCTTAACTAACGCAAATTCAACAACTCAATTAAATTAATCCAACTTAAGGATATCAACTCATACTATCCAAGTATTCAAAACTTAAAACAAGGTATTTAACTTCTCTTACTTGACAGATGGCCAAAAAGCTCTAAAACAGCTTCAAACACACAAGAAACTTTATTTGCTCCTACGAATAACAGATGTATACTGTTAGAACCATTGATCGACAATATTCAAACTGATGACTCAATAGACATTTGCAAACGAAGCAATACCCACATAAAACAGGTATAAGAAAAGAGCAAAGAAAAAAGATTGAAATTGAACTTACTCAAACAAAAAAACTCATGAGTTCAAATTAAAAATTTCATCACAAGGATCAATCCTATAATAATATTTATTCAGTTAGACAAGCAGAAAACTCTAAAAAATCAATTTCTAAAAAAATTATATGTTTTAAAATAAACTCATTTATAAAAAACCTGTTTACATTAAATTTTTTTAATATTAATATAATCGAGTCTTACTCACTTTTAAATTATTATTTTTTAATCTTTATATAACGCAACTTAAATATGATAAACAATGACACATTTTAGTCACTTTAACAATTTTAAATTTTATTGTTGTATATGTTACTTTTTACGTTTAATTGTTACTTTTTTGACCTTTAGTACTTTACGTTGTAAATAAAACTAAACTCTAACGTCTTTAACTATCAAATGACAGTCTAGCATTGGTATACATATATACCCCACTGTGGTTAATGAGAATTACACTCATTATTCTCTCTCTCATGTTTTACCTCTCTGCCCATCTCATCTCTGTTGCATTCTCATAACACCTTCCAGTCCTAACAGTGGTTATTAGGAGCGACAGGTTCTGAAACCCGTAAAGTTTTGTGACGCTCACGAAGGCTTCAAGAAAAAGGAGTGTGGAAGTGATGGCCAGAATGATTCACAATACCAGAACCTAACCTGTATTTGACGACAAAGGGTTCGATGATTGGTGTGTGAAGATCGACGCAATTCTTGGCTTCCAAGAAGTGGACGAGATAGTCAAGAAAGGCTTTAAAGAATTGTTAAAGGGAGACTCAAGAAGTGAAGAGACAACACAAGGAGAACAAGAGGTTGGACTGCAAGGCTCAAATGTTGTTGCATCAGTGTGTGTCGGCTACTATCTTCCAAAAAGTCTCGAAAGCTTGTTACGACAAAGGAGGTTTGGGATATCCTACAAAGGATATGGTAATTCCAACAGGTGAGGAAGGTCCGTTTGCAATCCCTATAGAGGAAATATGAGCTTCTATGCATAGGGGAGAAGGAAACGATGGTAGAGTACATCGGCAGAATTCAAATCTTGGTGAATGCTATGAGAGCATGCGATAAGGTTGTGAAAGACAAAAAGATTGTCGAGAAAATTTTGAGAATGTTGACGCCCCAGTATGACCACAATTGTTGTGACCTAAGAAAAAGCAAAGATCTGGAAACATGGGAGTGGAAAGAACTATCGAACTCCTCGAAGCGCATGAACCGAGGTTGATTGAGAGAAAGAAATGCAGAAAAGATGCATGAAGGCATAAATCAACAAGCGTTGCAGCCATAAATGGACGCAAAGCTTAAAGAAGCCCGAGGATCTGGAAATAGGCAAAGGATGGGACAAACGCGTGCCCGAACGGGTGGTGGGAGGTACAAACCCTCTGAACAAATTGACTCAAACGATGCCAGTGAGCAAAATGAGGGAACAGTAGAGGAGAAGACAGTTTCGAGGTAGAGGAAGAAAGGACAAAGAAGTGTTTCAATGTTACAACAACCTGTAACAAGTTTCGAGTCACTACTCTGTAGAGTGATGGCACAATGTAAGCCGCGAAGAGACAAGAATATGAGGGCGGTGAACCTTGCTCGGAGCCTGTGATTCGAGTCCGATCTTGTTGTGCTGATGAGTACTCTAGAACGAGTAGAAGAGGAGTTGTGCAGAGAGATAGTGCGGGACAGGTGTGAATGTGTATCTGAACATGTGTTGCAGCCGAGAGCAACAAGCCCTGCCAGATGCGTGTCATTGTGGCACAGGACCACGTGTTGTTGCTGTCAAGTGAAGATAGGCATTTAGTTGATGAAAAACCGACCGGGTGTCATCTTCATATGTAGGCAGAAGAAGAAAACGAACGACTGTCGTATCAAGTGCAGCTTGTAAAGAAATCGAGCAGATGTTGTCTTTTAATGCATTTGATGAAGAAACTGAACGGTCCCTTCATTGCAGTATTTGTTGAAGAAGTGTTACTTCAAACCG